TCTACTTTTCTGTAGTTTGCGGTTTCATTTTCTTCTACACCTCACATGAGGTGTCCTACCTAAGAAAAATACAATAAATACAAAATAAGGAGAAAAAAAAAAAAAAGAGAAAATCTCCATCCTCACTGTGTGTGTGTGTCTGTGGACACAGGCAGCGCAGCTAGGGAGCAAGCGTGACTCCATAGCATGTGGCATGCTATGGGGGCACACAGAGAAGAGGAGGAGCCTAAAGCACTGGTGGGGGACCGGGGGTACATAAGGCAAAGCTTCACTCTGCAAAGAATACCCAATCACTTGGAAGGAGATTTTTTTAAAAACAGCATTTTTAAAAAAAAATCCTGCCTAAGAAAAATACAATAAATACAAAATAAGGAGAAAAAAAAGAGAAAATCTCCATCCTCACTGTGTGTGTGTGTCTGTGGACACAGGCATCGCAGCTTGGGAGCAAGCAAGTGTGCCCCCATAGCATGCGGCATGCTATGGGGGCACACAGAGAAGAGGAGGAGCCTAAAGCACTGGTGGGGGACCTCAGAAGCAGGATCAGGGATGCTCTGTGCAAAACCATTGCAGAGAGCAGGTAAGTACAGGGGCGGACTGACCATTTGGGAACTCGGGCACTGCCCGAGGGCCCAGGGTCAGAAGGGGGCCCCATGAGATGCCCTGGTACCTTTCATAGGCTTTTTTGGGTGTGGTTTGAGTTTGGGCAAGGACACAGGTCCCCATGATCCCCTATTGCCCGGGGGCCCATAAGTTGTCAGTCCACCCCTGGGTAAGTATAATATGGGGTTGCTTGATTACTAAAGGCAAATAGGCTGTGCACTTTGCAAAGTGCAGATGCTCCAGAGCTTAGTAACTCCCGGTTCACATCTATTCGGTCGTGCGGGCCGCGTTTTGCACGGGCACGAGAGCCCATTCATTTCAATGGACTCCCATGCCCGGGACACGCAGGGAAGAAGTCCCTGCACTTCTTTGGAAAACGCAACCCTGCACAGGAACCTCGGTTCCCCGGGCGGTGTGCCGTTTTTCCAGTGCTAATGGCGTGCCACCCGAACGGATCCGCATTTCTCTGTGCGGGTGGTGCGGATGCACGGATTTCCGTGCGGATCCGCAGCGGCACCACCCGCACAGATGTGAACCGGGGTACATAAGGCAAAGCTTCACTCTGCAAAGAATACCCAAGCACTTGGAAGGAGATTTTTTTAAAAACAGCATGTTTACTTGCGCATGATTGGATGATGCAAGTGCAAGCTTCTGCTCATTTATTAAGCTCTGGAGCAACTGCAATTTGTAAAGTACACAGTCTATTTGCCTTAATAAATCAACCCCTATATTTGCTATTTTAATTTAAAAAAATCTTGGCTTTATAGTCACTTTCATATACACATCAAATACAAATATGCAAGCTGTTTTACCTGCCAAAGGATCTGTGTTTCAGTCTATCCAGTTCTGACATTTACACAGCTCTGCCTGTATGACAGGGCAGGAGACCTGATTTCTTAGGAGACATTGACGTGCCGTGGGGTTGACTTACTGAAGGCAAAGAGACCGTGCACTCTGCCAGAACGGTTATCCAAATCTTACTAAACAAGCAGCAGCTCTGCTGACTTCCATCATCCAATCCTGTGCAAGCAAAAATGCAGTTTTTTTTTTAAATTTTATTTATTTCAGGTACTTATATAGCACCATCAATGTACCAGCACTTTACATATATATTGTACATTCACATCAGTCCCTAACCCTCAAGGGGCGTACAATCCAAGGTCCCTAACTCACATTCATACATACACATACTAGGGACAATTTAGACAGGAGCAAATTAACCTACCAGCATGTCTTTGGAGAGTGGGGAAACCGGAGTACCCTGGAGGAAACCCACGCAGGCACAGGGAGAACATGCAAACTCCAGGCAGGTGGTGCCGAGGTTGGGATTTGAACCAACAATCCTAGTACTATCAGGTGGAAGTGCTAACCATTTAGCCACTGTGCTGCCCAGTATTTTCCTGGCATGTGATTGGGTATTCTTTGCAGCTTCACCTCATTTACTAAGTTCTAGAGCCACTACAGTTGCAGAGTTCACCGTCTATTTGCCTTTAGTAAATCAACCACATTGTCTCTTGATTGGCTTGTGATTGGACAGTGAGTGAAAAGTAAGTAGTTGACTGATGAGATCATCTGTCATTTTGATCTCTCCTCCTCTCAGCATGCTTCTTGCGCTACAACCGATTGGCTCTTTGTACTGCTTCTCCCTTCAAGACTGAGCTCTGTTGTACAAGGGATCGCAACAGGCCGATACCACGTCAAATCCTATTACTGACACTGCTTGCTTTTACAAAATACGTTTGCAGCTGTTTAATATGCGTATATGTTTTGTTGTCTGGTATCTCCTTTCCTTCCTGATCACTATGCTAATGAAATGATTAATAAACACCTTTTTGTTCTCAATACGTACCTTTTTTTAGACCCAGTGACATCATCACTGGAACTTTGTGCTTCTCTATGCAATGCCGGCAGATCATGGCTAGTGGGAGGGGCCGACAGGGTGCTGTACATAGCTGTACATCAGTACTCCTTTCAAGAGACCTCAAGCAGTGGATTGGATTTTAAGAGATATACAAATATCAGACTTCTGCGACGGCTGGATGTCAGCCTGGTGGAGAAGGCATTTCTAGGCAGGATGTATTTGCATGCAGACCGCCCTATATAAAGTACATGTGATGCTGAGTCTCCATACTTAAAAAACTGAAATCCAATGAATGAAAGGGGCGGGCCAAAAACAGTCAGGCTGGGGAAGAAAAAGCTAGAGCAGGGGGGTGTCAAACCCAATTTCATTACAGGCCGCATCAGCATTATGGTTGTCCTTAAAGGACCGGTTGTATCTGTTTGACTAGATGTCCAGAGCACTCCCCCCCACATCAGAAGTCAAGAGCCCTCCCCCACCATCAGAAATCAAGAGCTTCACCACCACCCCTAGAAGTCAAGAACCCCCCACCCTCGCATCACAGTACACCCCCCCACACACACACCTTATGCTGGTCAAAAGCTGGGGCCAGAGCGGAGAACCAGAAAATGCAGGGTCTGGAGGAGGACCAGAGGAATGCTGAGGCCAGGGGAGGCAAAGACGGGTTGGTGCTGCAGCTACACAGAAAGGTGCAGAATTTGTAAGAGGAGTTCTGTCCTCCTCTCTGTTACCAACTACTCAGAAAAGGGGGGGAAGAGACCATCCTCTCTGTGGCTTCAGGAAGAAGCGCTGGATCTGGAGGAGGAGTTCTGCCCTCCTCACTGCTGCCAACTGCTGAGAAAAGGGGGGGGGAGACCATCCTCTCAGGAAGAAGCGCGGGATCTGGAGGAGGAGTTCTGCCCTCTCTCTGCTGCCGACTGCTGAGAAGAGGAGGGGAGAGACCATCCTCTCTGTGGCTTCAGGAAGAAGCGCAGGATCTGGTGGAGGAGTTCTGTCCTCCTCTCTGCTGCCGACTGCTGAGAAGAGGGGGGAGAGACCATCCTCTCAGTGGCTTCAGGAAGAAGCGCGGGATCTGGAGGAGGAGTTCTGCCCTCCTCTCTGCTGCCGACTGCTAAGAGGGGGGGAGAGACCATCCTCTCTGTGGCTTCAGGAAGAAGCGCGGGATCTGGTGGAGGAGTTCTGTCCTCCTCTCTGCTGCCGACTGCTGAGAAGAGGGGGGGAGAGACCATCCTCTCTGTGGCTTCAGGAAGAAGCGTGGGATCTGGTGGAGGAGTTCTGTCCTCCTCTCTGCTGCCGACTGCTGAGAAGAGTGGGGGAAGAGACCATCCTCTCCATGGCTTCAGGAATAAGCGTGCGATCTGGTGGAGGAGTTCTGTCCTCCTATCTGCTGCAAACTGCTGAGAAGGGGGGGGGGGGGGAGAGACCATCCTCTCCGTGGCTTCAGGAAGAAACGCGGAATCTGGTGGAGGAGTTCTGTCCTCCTCTCTGCTGCCGACTGCTGAGATGGGGGGGAGACAGAGACTATCCTCTCTGTGGCTTCATGGAGAAGTGCGGGATCTGGTGGAGGAGTTCTGTCCTCCTCTATGCTGCTAACTGCTGAGATGGGGGGGGGGGGGGGCAGAGACTATCCTCTCTGTGGCTTCATGGAGAAGTGCGGGATCTGGCGGAGGAGTTCTGTCCTCCTCTGTGCTGCCAATCTGCTCTTTTTTTTGTTTATAGTGCAAAAAATAAAACACCCAGCAGCGATTAAATACCACCAAAAGAAAGCTCTATCTGTGTGAAAAAAAATGATAAAAACTTTATATGGGTACAATGTTGCGCGACCGCGCAATTGTCATTCAAAGTGCAGCAGCGCTGAAAATTGACCTGGGGGTAAAAGTGCCCGGTAGGTGAGGGGTTAAGTAGCGTTTTTTTGGCTGGAAAAAAAATCCCAGAACTATTGAGTATCTAGATGAGTTTTTTAGCTGTAAAAACACTCCAACACTGGTAAATGTGGTAAAACACAGCAAAACAGCGTTTTTGAGCCAAAATGCAATTTAATTTTTTTTTTTTGTGTAAAAACCGTGAACACGGAAAAAAACACGGCTAAACGCTGATGAAAAAACGCTGGAAAAACTTGCGACTTTATACAGCTAATGCTACCAGCGTTTTTAAAACCTGTGTGTGCGTGAGGCCTTAGGATTGTAGATGATTACAGTCAGGGCTCCATGTACGCGGGGCGTTTGGAAAACTCTTCTGAACGATGGAAACTGCTGGAAAACGTAAGTTAAAAACGTCAGTCTAGCCGCATACCGCGCGTTTGCGTTCAGAAGCGTTTTTTTAAAGATAACCTCAGGAGACCTTCCAAAATGCCCAGAATGCACTGAAAAACAGTAAAAAAAACTATTTCAGACATTTTGAGAGGAATAGAGAGAGCAGAAGCAGAGAGAGCAGTATGTGTGGAGATGACCTGTCTTTTCTGGTTGTATTCACTGTGGATCCCATCATGAGCATAATGCGGCGCGTTCTACCATTTTTCCTTCACGCGAAACCTGGAACTGACTGCGCTGGTGTACCGGGTCCATTTGAAATGGAAAACACTTTGCATGCATTTCTGATGATGAAAAAAGGCTCCGGACAGCATCTGATATGGAACAGTTAAAAAACGCTTCTAAAAGCAAATGCTTCTAAACGCGTTACAAGCATTTAACCGTGTTTACAAGCGTTTGGCGTTTGAAGCGCCGGTAAAATCTACTCCTGAACGCAAGTTAGGTGCGTTCAAAAAAAGCCTGTAAATTCAACTGCCTAAAGGGACACATAGGAAAACATTAAGGAGAGTTTAGGGGCTGCTGAAAAAAAAACACTCAACAGCTTCTGAACGCCAGTTTATCAGCTGCAGTGTACATGGAGCCAGAGGCGTCCCTAGGGTTGGTGTCACCCGATGCGCTAACACTTGGTGACACCCCCTCCGAAATCCCCGCAGAATGGATCGGATCTGCAGATTGAGCATAATGGATCGGACTCCGATCCATTATGCTCAATCCGCAGATCCGATCCATCCTGCGGGGATCGTCGGCTTTCTTTACAACTTACCTTTTCGTGGAGCGGGTTCGGTGTCACCCCGTATAGGCTGCATGCCGACGATCCCCGCAGGATGGATCGGATCTGCGGATTGGGGAGCATAATGGCTAGGACTCCGATCCATTATGCTCAAACCGCAGATCCGATCCATCCTGCGGGGATCATCGGCTTTCTTTACAACTTACCTTTCCTTGGAACGGGTCCGGTGTCACCTCGTATAGGTTGTATGCCGACGATCCCCGCAGAATGGTTCGGATCTGCAGATTGAGTATAATGGATCGGAGTCTGATCCATTTATGCTCCCCAATCCGCAGATCGATCCATCCTGCGGGGATCGTCGGCTTTCTTTACAACTTACCTCTCTCTTGGAACGGGTCCAGGTGTCACCTTGTATAGGTTGCATGCCGATGATCCCCGCAGGATGGTTCGGATCTGCAGATTGAGCATAATGGATTGGAGTCCGATCCATTAATGCTCCCTAAATCCACGATTGAGCATAATGGATCGATCCATCCTGCAGGGATCATCGTCTTGCTTTACAACTTACCTTTTCGTGGAGTGGGTCCTGCACAGGGGCGGACTGACAACTCATGGGGCCCCCGGGCAATAGGGGATCATGGGGCCCGTGTGTCCTTGCCCAAACTCAAAAAAGCCTATGAAAAAAGGTACCAGGGGCATCTCATGGGGCCCCCTACTGACCCCGGGGCCCCGTGCCCGAGTTTTCAAAAAAAAATGGTCAGTCCGCCCCTGGTACTGGTGTCACCCCGTCTGCGGTCGGTGTCACCACCCGTGCGGGCCGCACTCCCTGCACCTGCCTCGGGATGCCACTGCATGGAGCCCTTATATTCATTTGTGCTTTTCTATCCTGTATTTTCTCAAAGTTCAGGCCTTAACATTTCCCGGCTTCCCTAACACTGTACTTTTCCATGTTACACGATGAGCGATGATTTCACCGATCTTTATAAATAAATCAAATTGCACAATGATTACAACGTTCTCATGAACCGAGTATGGTTAGTAATATTATCCAAGGTGGCAACGTCCCGCACTTTCCTGAACCCAGCGGGGGTTAAATGAACGTCCTTTGTTGCGCCCTCGTTGAACTGAAGGCAAACTGCGCCATGTTGCAACCATCATGACCCAGGCGGCTCTGTATTTTTACAGCTGGGGATTGACTGACAGCTCCCAGCATGCTCCCAATGAAACACACGTCCCGCATGCCATGCCTGGACCCTCCAACAAAACACAGAAGAGTTTAATCACCGACTATAGAATAATAGACGTGAAGTGTTCTGATCAGCGACATCCCCAGGGAGAGCGAAAATTCCATCAGAAGTTGGACTGAAGTCTTGACGGGGGCGACGAGCTTTTATGGGAGAATGAAGAATGACAATCTAAAAATATATCAACACCGTTGGGAGCTGCGCTGCATGGAGAACGGGCAAAATCAGATTCCTACTGACATTTTATTTGTATTGGGGGAAAAAGGGGAAAACATCAATGGGGGGGGGGGGGG